CAACATATTGAAATTTTTAGATGCATTTACTAACCAGGGCTTCTCGACATTCTATAATTGTAATTTTTAATCATTTACTATTGATTTTAATTTCTCAGGAATAACAGTATGTCATTATTAAAAGCATACCAAAACTTTCAACTCCAATGAAGAACAAATATATTCAAACGCCTCCTCTACCTATGGAGATAAAATATAATAAAAAATGTTAACCGGATAAAAATAAAAGTATCTAACATCATTTACGTATACGCGTGATCAGATTGGTTTTCTTTTTTCATATAAATTTCAAGAATAGCCGGCTGTTAATGATATAGCCTTAGCGGAATTCACATATGATGTTTTTATGTACATAGGCAGTTACTGCCCACGTCAACATAGTATTAATACTACAGAGACAAGGTCCATTCACTGCCTAAATACCACCTTATGTGTAATGCGCCTCGGCGATGAGAATAACAAAAATACGTAACAATATGTTTAACATCCTCTCTAATGAGTATTTTTCGTTACCCCCACAAGAAAACCAATTAATTCATCATATCTAGTTTACTATAAACTCTTAATAATTTTAGAAACTTACACGCCGTTTCAATATATCACCAGTTCCGAAACCATGAAGCTTCTCTAATCTTTCAGTGTTATCTATACTTACTACACTTAACGATTTATCCAATGTTTTAATAAAGTTCTCTCTCTCCTTATTACAATCATTCGTCCACTCACCAGACTCTACTCGTTTACATAAAGCGGTAAATATGTTTATAGCCGAAACAGGTGAAAAAGATATTAAGAATGCTTCCATTTTTTCAATTAAAAAAGATATGAATGCTGAGTTAATAGATTTTCAGATTAATAACAAAATCGCAAATAAAAAGCAATAAATATTTATAACTCGATATACTGCCCTTTTTAAACGTATTTCTTCCTCTAGATTTATCGAATGAAACAATACAGAAATAAAGAATGTATTTACGCCAAAAATTTCTCTCACAAAGAAAATGAATGTACATGAATGCTAATTAATCGAATTTGGTTAATCGCACAAATAAACATGCATACATATAAAAATAATTTCGTTGCACAGCCCCATTAAATTATCTGATTGATTATGCGGATAGATTATCAAATTTATTATTATTATGGATTAAGTGTATATTTTACGAAACTCTTGCTATTTATTTTTAAAATTTCAATGATTACATAAACTATATTATTAATATATTTAGGCACCTACCCATTTTTACAGTATGAATTCAGGGTTCCCGATCAATTTTTCTAATGAAAATTTCTAGAGCAGAATCTAATTAATCATCTGGAAATAATAATGCATGCATTGAAAATCTAAGAATATTTTTATTACACAGCCCATTAATACAATGAACCTGATCGATTATAACAAATTTGAATTTTAGAAAATATTGGTAAAATTATTTTTATTGTAATATTTGATATTTAATAATAATGATTTTTAATGATATTTGATATATAAAATAGAAATAAACGCGAGCTTGCATGGGAGGGATGCAAAATTGCATATAATGCACGAATCCAAGGTCGTATATTGTGCATCCCTATACTTTGGGCTCGTGATTATTCAGTACTAGTACTAGTTATTATAAGATTATCATTTTTATTTCTACCGCTACTACTACTACTACTACTACTACTACTAATGAACTTGTTTTTCTTTTTCCCTTCTTTATCCAGCCAAGCTTCGATTTTATCTAATGTTGTAACATGTGGTTTTTTTTGGTGGCGATAAAATCCAGATAACGTCGCAGGACCAAGTCCAATTTCTTCAGATAAGACATTATACATTGTAGCGGGGGAACGCCCTTCTCTTTTTCTTCTTTCGTCGAAGAGGTATGTAAATTCAACCCAGGTAGCCTCGGTTTCATCTGAATATTCCGGTCAATGGCTTGTAATAGAGGCGCGACCTGTAATGTTAGACTCGTTAGTATAATTCTGGAATGAGCGAGTTCACTTGCATCGTAAGGTAGGTTATCAAAATTTACCTTGACTCTGTGTTTCACTTTTCCATTCTGATTCGGTATGCATTTTACTGATTTCATTATTGAGCGCTAAAATAGCTTTTTCAATATTTTTTTGTAGTTGGATCCACACTTTGTTGTTTATTTGAGATGCGCATAAACATCACGATTACATATGGTGTGATTAAATTCAGAAAGAAAAAAATATCAATTATATCGATAGACATTTTTAGTTAATTTTAAAATGTTTTTTAGTTGTTTTTTTTGTTAATTTTTTTTATTTTTTGAATGTTATAGTGAGGTATCAAAGAAGTCGAGCTGTATTTATATTACTTTGTAAGTAACATATCACGTTTATTTTTACCAATAGAAACATCTTTATACTAAAGGTAAATCTGTGCGTAAGCATTACAGAGAGCCCTCGAACCTGCTAGAAATTTTATCAGTAATAAGGTTTATCCGCACAACAATTAATGATGAAATATAGTCAACTTTGATTTGTGTTTATATTAAATGATTTAGTGAGAACAAAGTTAGAGCCCATTATAACAATTAACTTGCGTAATCTACTCTCTTTTATTCGGATTTTTTACACATGTCAAGATTATGAGAATGCGCTATTTTATTATTTGAATAATTAATACTCAGTATTGGAGGTTAAAAATATTATAATTATGCTTATTTTTTTCAATGGACGATCTCAGTAAACGTTTTTATATGGGCGATCTTGACACCATTTTACGTCATTTGATCAGAGAAAAACACACATTTGTCATGATTTATTCTCTATTGGCGATCTGGATCGGAAGAGTCTATCTCAGGTTAAGTTTCGGGTTGACTATTTTTTCTTGCCAAGAGTGATCGGCGTTGCGTGACAGAACGCGCGCATTATTTTTTTTCCTAATATTGTATATATAAGTATAAACATGTCGAATCTTGCTGAAGCTCAAACTTACGCCGAAAAACGTGGAGGAAAATGTTACATTCAAACCGGTCCTACAACTTTCTTATTTTCATGCAATAGAAATCACTTATGGGAGAGGCCTATTACGAAGAGATATGACTGGTGCCCCCTATGTCCTCATTCGAAAGGAGAACGTACATCAAGGTATATATTCGAAGATCTGTTAGGAAAAAAGTTTCCACCTCGTGCACCAAAATTTTTACAAGGGATGCGCTTCGATGGATACAATGAGGAATTAAAACTGGCCTTCGAATTTAATGGTCAGCATCACTATGCTCTTAATCCAATGTTTCATAAAAGTGGACAAGATTTGAGCGAGCAAAGGAAACGTGATCAAAAAAAGCGGAATATCTGTAAGGAACAGGGTATATGCCTCATCGAAATTCCATATGACATAGATCTTTATAACTTTATCCAAGAATCTCTAATCAATAATGGTTATCTCCAAGACCATTCCAATTGATAATGGTTTCTTCTGAATTAGTCTTGATTGATAATGATATTTCTGGATAAATTCGTCTGGAGGATATTCAAGATTTTCCATATCTACGATTTGCAATTCTTCCATTTTGAATGGTCTACGAGGATTACATCCCATTAAATGTCTTGTAGATTCAACCGCTTCCTTCTCTAAATAATATAAGACTGGCTGTGGTGGATTTTTTCCAACAACGACTTTTCTGATTCGATAAACACGTAGACTCCAGTATGGATCGGTTGCTCGGCGTGTATGTCCGCCTTCTAGTTCACCAGGTTTTAATAAGTAACGAACAGTAGTCCCTTTTGTATTTGTTCTTCGTCCTCTCCAATTGGTCTCTTTGGTTTTATAGAGGGTTTGGAGATCACTTTTTCCAACGTCATAGCATGGGATGGGGTCATTCCGATTAATCGTGTAGGACTGTTGTTCATATTATCAAAAATTACTTCAAGAATAATATTCCATAATGTAGAACGTTCTCCTGCTGGTAATTTAGATTCTATAGCATATTGAATTTTGTATATTATTTGCGCTAATCTTCGTTTCAATGCTTTGACCAATGCTAGACTTTCGAAACTGTAAAGGTCAACGACCCAAATAGGTACATTATGACGTTCCATTCCTCGTGCAAAATATCCAGAGAATTCTTTACCGCCGTCCAGCATCAATAATTTTGGCCATGTGTGAAGATTTTTAGGATCATTGTAAATTTCTTCGATAGCTTTCCAAACTTCTAAACTATTCTTCGATGTTAATGAGCGTCCACTTTTATAACGCGTAGCAATGTCTATAACCACTAATGTATAACGATATATTTTTTCACCATCCTGATCATCATAACCATGGGCCAGCAGATCGCACTGATGTACTTTGTTAGGAATAGATATCTTCTGAAACCCTGCTCCGGCTTTGCATTTTTGCGGAAAGAGATGTATTTGATTAACATACTGGTGCTTTAACCATTTTGCGATATCTTGCAGGGAAATATGATTATATCCTTCTTGCCAACAAGCCTTTTGTAACTGCTTTGCGTTTGAACTAAATCCAGGTACGTGATAGTAAATTATACGAAGAACGATTTTTAATTCCTCATCAGCGTTAATTATAATACTAGGTATACTCATTTTGATGCATTTTAATATGAACTATAAAAATAATGGATTATAATTTCGATCCAGCATATCTACAACTGCTAGACACTAATCGAGAGTTACGTAAAGAGTTAGGTAAAGAAGTAGACATAAACCGCGAAAATGAGAAAAAAATCCGTAGTCTCATCAAGGATCTTGAATATTGTAAGAAAACCATTTCATTTCAGGATAACACCATTATTGCTCATGAAAAGGAAATTCAAGAACTCAAATTCCAAGTATCCGATTTGCAAAAACGTCTCCAGACTGCTTTGAAGGATGCTGATAAAAAGGAGGGTTACATTTTTGATCTAGAGCAACGGTTGTCTACACTCGAAGACGAAGTGATCATATTAAAAAATAAAATTCAAAAAATTACTTCTCGGAAGTATAATAAATCTGCAGAAATCAAAGATTCACTTAATATAGTTAAGATGTCTCAGCCGATTCAACCAGATCCAATTCAACCACCTAGGCCTAATGAACTTAACGACCTTTTCGATACACTTCTGGATGAAAATATACATATTGATAATTATGTTCGAAATTCCCACACTTCGGCTTGGAATCAGAGGGATATTTTAAACAAGATTATTACGGTTAATGATTCTGCACTTCGACTAAAAGAAATTGCTGACTGGGAAAATAACGAAGCACAAACCCAATATCAGCAATATGGTCAGATGATTGCGGGTTTGAATAATCAAGCAACTCAACTTCAAGCCCAAATTCAGGGAGATGCACAAATTATTATACAATTACAGGCTCAGCTGGATGCGGTGAATAATAATTTCAATCTTCTTAATCAGGCCCACAATTTCCAGACCGGTAATTTACAAACATGCCAAGCTGACTTACAAACTTGGCGTAGAAAGCATGCAAAGAGAAAAGGTAAGCATATCAAGCAAAAGGCGAAACACAAAAAATGGGAAAATAAGGAAAAAACTTCTCGACAAATAATTATAAATTTAAATCAACAAATTTTGGCGCTTAATAATAACTTACAAGATATGGCTCAGGCATCAAGACAACATATCTATCTAACTATTGCACCGAAACTTGCCCAAATTCCAGTCTATATAGGCCAGGAACCACCGGACGATTATTGCAACAGGGTTGCTCAAGCAATTTCTTATGCCGATACACTTATCACTGATGCTAATGATGCCAATGCAAACACTTTTACAGATGCTCACAAGGCAGATATTTATAAATCGCAAATGGGAGGAAAATATCTACCAGTTCCTGCGCAATATCCAAATGGAACAAATATCGATACTCCAGCACGGTTCAGAGATTGGATCAGGTATCAATATCAGCAATTAATGGTTGGGATGCAACAAGTTGCAATTCAGAGATTAGCGTTCGAATTATTCAAACCTACTGATAACCCGGAAACATATGAGAATAGGATTCGACCATTTTTACTAGGAGTACCTAATAATGACGCTAATGCCTTGTCATTCCTTATGAATCATTTACCTGATGAACTTTTCACTCGAATGAAAGTTGCGCAACCCGCAGACATTGATGCATTCTTTACTAATCTCAAGAATATGTGGTTGGAGCGTAGACCTTCTTTATTTAACTATGGAAGTGCGAATAATATGAATGGAACGACATTTCAACCACCTCAGCAGATCGTTCAACAGCCTACATTCCAACCACCTCAGCAAATCATACAATATCCTACATTTCAACCACCTCAACAAATCATTCAACAACCGGAGCTTCAACCATTTCAACGAAATTTTCGTCCCAAAACTGAGAAAGCCAAGTACTATGAAGAGTTAAAGAATTATGCGGAAATGGGTCTCGAAGTTGAAGATAACAGAGTACTAGAACCGATGGAAATCGATTACGCAATTATCAATAAAGTCAATCAGATTAAAGAATTATCTAATATACCAGAGCCAACAATAAATGCAACCAATTTGTCTACTGCTAGACCAATCCAACGTAAATGCGAAATTTGTAAAAAGCTAGGCCATACTTATCGCAGTTGTCCAGTAATTAGGAATATGGTTGCTAATTCTAAGAAAAAAACTGGTTGTGTGAATTTTGCCAATGGATTTCAACAAAGCCACTCTGACACAGAAGAACTCCCTGATGAATTTATCTCTGACAAAGAAGAGGATAATATATCCGATGAAGATTCCAATGTTGATATAGACAGAATAAAAAAAAAATAGAGCGACCTAAGCAAGTACTCAATACGACATCCTCGCAAAAGCAAATTCCGAAACGATCCAAAGAAAAGAAAGATATCTATTCTACAGAGGATAAGAGGAATCCAACCCCAACTTTACTAGAGAGACGGATGCGTGAAATCATTCAAAGTGAGCTTGAAAATTCTGCTTTATTTGAGGAGACTATACGTAAAATCTTACGAAATTTCCAGAAATCTAATCCCATAAATGAAGTCCATCCTCAAAGCAATGCTGAAGATGAAGAAGTTATCGAAGATATGGAAATTAACTTTGTTCGGGATAAAGATGCAATAGATGTTCCAACTGTTCGGGGTAAAATCAAACGTTTAGTTCTCTCAGCCATAATAGTTGACCCTGGTTCTAATACTTTGCTTATGTCTAGAGACATTGCTGACCGCTTGGGTTTAAAAATTGATAAAAGCGTGACGTTTTATTTCAAGGGGGCGTCCACTGTCCTAACAAAATCAATTGGAATGGTTTATAATGTGCCATTAACCTTAGTTCGAGGTTGTGTATTTTATTTAGATTTTGTAGTTATTGAATACGATAAGCCTATGTTGATATTAAGTAACGCTTTCCTTGAAAAACATGGATGTGTTATGGATTGGCCTAAATCCGAAATGAAGCTTCATTGTAATGGGAAAGATTTTTACATTCCAGTTACGATGCACAAGGTAGAAAATAAGATTGAGGTACATCACGTTAATGTTATTTCTGAAGAGACAGATACAGAGTTAAAAAAAAACACGTGATTAATCCTAATATCATTCCAGGTACTAAAATATTAGAGTTCCATTCTAAGGTTTGGGATACACGGCAAAACCTCAAGGATGAATTTCTTAGAGTTCTAGATTATGCTGAATATCTTAAAAGGAATTGATTCGAATTCAGGATTCAGCTTGAAGCTCTTTAGCATATTTTCGCAATGGGAGGCATTCACTTTACCGACAATCACTTTACCGACGTATTATTTTACCGACAATCATTTTACCGAAAGTTCATTTTACCGACAGTTCATTTTACCGACAGTTCATTTTACCGACAGTTCATTTTACCGACAATTACTTTACCGACAATTACTTTACCGACAGTTCATTTTACCGACAGTTCATTTTACCGACAGTTCATTTTACCAACAGTTCACTTTACCGACAGTTCACTTTACCGACAGTTCATTCTACCGACAGTTCATTTTACCGACAGTTCGGGTCTGTTTCATTTCGTCAACAATCATTTCGTTGAAAATTTACTTCGTCGAAAGTTTGTTTCGTCGAAAATTGTTTCATCGACAATCACTTCGTCGACAATCACTTCGTCGACAATCATTTCATCGAAAGTTCATTTTGTTGAAAGTTCATTTCGTCGAAAATTATTTCATTTCTACAACAATTCATGTTAATTTGCATGTATTACAGTGTCACCAAGAATGAATAGGTTTACTAACATATTAGTTTAATTAGTGGATAATTTTGGTTTAAAAAGATAATAAATGTTTATTTATTTTATTTAGTCGAAACTAATTAAAGATTTAGAAGAGAACGATCATGTGAGCTATGTTTTAACACAAAATTTTAATCCATGTAATCATTGATTTACCAATCAAAATCGTGAATTTGATAACGTAAAAAAATAAAAAAAAATAAATGAATTATTTAGAGTTAATAAAAATATTCGACAAATGGTTCAAATTTAAGAATTTGGAAGAAAGCATGCAACAAACCTTCAAATAGTCTAATAAATTAAATTGTACTACTCGAAGATGTATTTAAAGGGTTGGTTTTCGACTTGGTCGAAAAACAACTCTCTCTCTAACTCTTCTCTTGACCACATCTCTCGACATAATCAAAAAAACCTTAATATAATGAATGTCTACGAAATGATTTTAACCCACGCAATTGTTGATCTACCAATCAAAATCGTGAATTTGATAACGTAAAAATAAACGTTAATATAAAACATTGATTCATTTTGTCAACAATCACTTCACCAATAGTTGTTTTGTTAACAAATGGTTCGAATTTAAGAAGTTGGAAGCAACCATTTGAAATAGTCTAATAAATTAAAATCATACTACTCGAAAATGTATTTAAAGGGTTGGTTTTCGACTTGGTTGAAGAATAACTCTCTTCCTAACTCTTCTCTTGA